AGTACAATCTCAATATTTGAATCATAACCTGCTGTTCTACACAATTTTGGGCTACAAAACAGAGCTTGTATAATTAATAGGTTTAATTTAGATTTATTAAAAGTGATTCTGCAAATTTATAGCTTAAATTAACGGTACTTTAAATGGGATCAATAGTTAAAAAATGTAGAGAAATGTATTTATTATAAGCATTTATCTACTTTTCGTGTCCATGATAATATACAAGAAGATAACATACAAGTTTAAAAACCGTGGTGACTCAGTGGATAGAGAGCTCACTTCCCAATGAGGTGACCCTTGCCGACAGGCTAACGAAGGGGATCTTCCGTGGTTTTCATCACCATGAAACGCAAATGTGGGTTAGTTCCATCAAAAAGCACTCCACGAAGGTACATTTCTCCCAGTACTTGTTCCAGTAGTTCCCTTGCCTTCTGAATCGGGTTCAAAATTATAAAGCTACGGAGTTGGACATTGATAGTTGTAAACTTAAAATTGGATCGGCTGTTCAACGAAGGATATAAAATATACAAGTTGATTTTTTTTTTAGATTTATAAATTTAATTTAAAATGATTTTGATCAGCACTAGATATGAATAAATTAAACATATATAAAGTGCATGCAAATTAGCCAACAGTGTTTTCATATCCATACATGGATAGGTACTCTGAAAAACTTGATTAGTTAGTTAGTTAGCCAACAGTGTTTTTTAACTCACAACTAAAAAGACTAAAACTCTATAATAACTTATATGCAAGGTTCTTCATAAAGTTGTTTTTGTTATCGCTTTAAGATCGGAAGCAATTGGAAAACACTGATTTCTTTCTTGTATATGTACCTAAAAGCGTAAGAAGTGCTAGGAAATCTATTTTAGCATGAACATTATTCTAAGTAATTAAAGATAATTAATGGGAGCTAGTCTCAAGCTTTCAAAAGTAAAAATTTCATTAAATCCTGCGGTGTCACAGTTTATGGTCTTTTCAAAAAATTTGCAATTTAGCTTTGCAATATGATAATTTTAAAAATCTATGTTGAGATCATGATATATATTCTTATTTCGGATAAACCATCTTGTTTGTGTTATTTTTCGGCGAAATTTTTTCTGGCATCTTGAGTTTCTCTAGGAGTAATGGGGAGACGTTACATCAAGCTGGAGATGCGCAAATTAGGATGGGACAGATCATTGAGATGTAGAGTAAGCGTTTAAGTCTGAGTTCCATTTTAGAGTTCTGAAGAAGGATTTGTAATTTATGGCACACTGTTTGTGCTTTGTTATAACTGATTTGACATGATCTTTCCAATTAAATTTATTGCTTATGACCAGACCAAGATATTTCGCACTTTTGATAATGGGGATAGTTTCGTTAACGAGAACAACTTGATTTTTTGGAAAAATGGTTTTTCTTTTATGTTGGATAATTAGTAGTTTCGAGTTTTGTCTGTTAACTTTAAACTCCCAGCCTAGACTCCAGGTTTCCATTTTATTCAGTTTTTCTTGGAGTTTCTGTAACGCAGTGTTGGGGTTTTTGGACTTGCCGACGATTTCAGTGTGATCTGAGAAAAATGCTGTAATACTATTAAAGTCTTGACTGTCTGCTGGAAAGTCGCTGGTAAATATAGTATGGACCCTAGGATACTTCCTACATAATTACATTTAGAATCTAATTTCATATCTGCAATGGATATTTTTATTATGAAAACTGTAGCTTTTAGAGAAGAAGCATTTTACTCAGTTTAAACTTGTTTTAAAATGAATATATTACTACTATGCACATATTGAGTTAAATATCTAACCCGCACAATAGTGCACGCTGGGTCTTAAAGGGTTATGATTTAAATAGATGTATTCTCCCTTATAGCTGGTACTGAACTATTACGTACATTCTTACCGGTGGGCACCTGTGAAACTAATTCAAGTAGGCGAGCTACATTACCACGCCACGCTACAATAGATACACATTTTACATTTCAATATATTCACACATCACGCAACAGAGGACAAACAGAGAAACAGACAACCATGCCTGCGCGGGGTTCCAACCAGCGTCAGTTGAAAATTTTGCATAGATTTAATAATCGAATGATTATGCTCTTTCGTTATTATAAAAGTTTCATAACATTTTTTATTTGTTTCTCAGATTACACTGCCACTGGGGAAAATATTTCACACAAATCTCAAATGTTGAAGGTTGTACAAATGGTTGTGTTCTTAATTCTTTGTATGATTTGTGTAAAAACTCAATTTATTTTTAAAAAAATATTTGCTACAATTGAAAGAGTATTTCGTACAAAACTCTAATGTTGGAGAATCATCTTCATAATTCTTGTTAAGATTTGCGCTAAAAATTCTATTTATTTAACAAAAAATTACTTCAGTTCACTAATAAGTATTTCGTACAGACCTAAAATGTTGGAAAATTTTGCAAATAGTCATGCTTTTACTTCTTGATAAGATTTGTGTAAAAAACTCTATTTATTTTTAAAAAAATTGATTCAGTTCACTAGTATTTGAAAAAGTATTTCGTACAAACCTCAAATGTTGTAGGATATGCAAATGGTCATGCTTCTACTTCTTGATAAGATTTGTGTAAAAAATTCTATAGTTCTCTATAATTCTGTAAATTCTGAAGTATTCCATAATTTTTTTAGCGAATTATTTTTTATAGGAATTATAAAGACATTTTTCATAGAATTATAAAGTATTCTATAATTCTATTAAAAACATTGCTTCAGTTCACTACTATTTGAAAAAGAATTTCGTACAAACCTCAAATGTTGGAGGATTTGCAAATGGTCATGCTCTTACTTCTTGATAAGATTTGTGTAAAAAATTCTATTTTTTTAAAAAAAAATAGCTTCAGTTCATTACTATTGGAAAAAGTATTTCGTACACAAGTTGGAGGACATGCAAATGGTCATGTTCTTAATTCTTTGTAAGATTTGTGTTAAAACTCAATTTTTTTTAAAAAAAATATTTACTACTATTGATTACTACTTGAGAAAATATTTCGTACAAACTTCTAATGTTGGAGAGTTGGAGGGTCATATTCATAATTCTTGTTAAGATTTGTGTTAAAAATTCTATTTATTTAACAAAAATTTACCTCAGTTCACTACTACTTAAAAAAGTATTTCGTACAAACCTCAAATGTTGGAGGATATGTAAATGGTTATAAAAGTAATTTATAAAATTTTATATTCATTTTGCAGGTGGCTGAGAGAAAGCTTGCGTGTATGCAATATCTGCTGCTGATGTAACAGATATTGCTTACTCACAAGCTTCTCAGAGTCATAAAAAGTAATTTATGCAATTTTATATTTATTTTGCAGCCGATCGGCCTGTGTAGGGAGCGGGGAACTGTCCTTGCATCAGAAAGGTCCTGGGTTCGAATCCCGGGCAAGGCATAGGTGTTTCTTTCTCTCTGTGTATGTTCTATGTCCTTTCTCCTTTGTGTGTGAATGTATGTGAATGTGACCCGCCCTATAAACGGGTTGTGGTTGTGTGAATGGCGTGGCAGANAGAGAGTTTGAATAAAATTGGCAACCATTTGTCACTTTTAAAAAATGTATAAGAGTTATAAAATACATAATTCCTTTTGAAGTTTGTAGCATTTAAGGAATTTATTCTATAAATAAAGAAAAATAAAAGTCAGTAAGTTCCTAATAGATCGTGTTAAATATATTTACCACCAAAAAAATGGCATTTTTATAAACTAAATGAGTTTTTTTTATATCAATTACTGTTCTTAAGACAATTTCAATTCCAAAAATACTTTAATTTACCTTTACTAGAAATAAAGGGCCCATTAAGGGGTTAAAGTCTTCACTGCCCGCAGGAAAGTCGCAGGTAAATAAAATAAATAGTATGGACCCGAGGATACTTCCTACATAATTAAATTACAAGCCTCAAATGTTGGAGGATATGCAAATGGTCATGCTCTTACTTCTTGATAAGATTTGCGTACAAAATTCTATTTTTTTTTAAAAAAAATAGCTTCAGTTCATTATTATTTGAAAAAAGTATTTCGTACACATGTTGGAGGATATGCAAATGGTCATGTTCTTAATTCTTTGTAAGATTTGTGTAAAAACTCAATTTATTTTTAAAAAAAATATTTGCTACAATTAACTACTACTTGAGAAAGTATTTCGTACAAACCTCTAATGTTGGAGAGTTGGAGGGTCATATTCATAATTCTTCTTAAGATTTGTGTTTAAAATTCTATCTATTTTACAAAAATTTACCTCAGTTCACTACAACTTGAAAAAATATTTCGTACAAACCTCAAATGTTGGAGGATATACAAATGGCTATAAAAGTAATTTATACAATTTTATATTTATTTTACAGGTAGCTGAGAGAAAGCTTGCGTGTATACAATATCTGCTGCTGATGTAACAGATATTGCTTACTCACAAGCTTCTCAGAGTTATGAAAAGTAATTTATACAATTTTATATTTATTTTACAGCCGACCGGCCTGTGTAGGGAGCGGGGAACTGCCCTTGCATCAGAAAGGTCCTGGGTTCGAATCCCGGGCAAGGCATGGGTGTTTCTTTCTCTCTCTCTCTCTTTGTGTTCTGTGTCCTTTCTCCTTTGTGTGTGAATGTGACCAGCCCTATAAACGGGTTGTGGTTGTGTGAATGGCGTGGCAGAAGTCGAATTCCTGGCCATAGATGGCGCCACTGAAAAACAGGAACACTCGCACCCCCACTGACTAAACAGGCATACGACAACAACAAAAAAAATTTTTTACAGGTAGCTGAGAGAAAACTTGCGTGTACGCAATATCTGCAGCTGATGTAATAGATATTGCTTACTCACAAGCTTCTCAGAGTTATAAAAATTAATTGATACAGTTTTATATTTATTTTACAGATAGCTGAGAGAAAACTTGCATGTATGTAATATCTGCTGCTGATGTAACAGATATTGCTTACTCGTAAGCGTCTCAATCAGAGTTACGAAAAGTTATTTATACAGTTTTATATTTATTTTGCAGGTAGCAGAGAGAAAGCGTATGTGTATGCAATATCTGCTGCTGGTGTAGCATATAGTGTGACTCGAGCATGTAGTAAAGGAGAACTTGGCGAATGTCGTTGTGACGAGTTAGTAAGAAAACGTGACAATGGTGGCCGTTGGAAATGGGGAGGTTGCTCTGACGATATCAAATTTGGAGCAAGATTCAGTAAAGATTTCGTAGATTCAGGAGAAGATCAACGCGCACCTGAAGGTCTTATGAACATACATAACAATGAAGCCGGGAGAAGAGTAAGTAATCATATTTATAAACATTATACATTATTTTTTCTGATTCTATATACTATTACATAGGTAATAACTCATATATTTACAATCAAATTTAATTCTCAATTAATTGTAATCAATCGAAGGGCTTCGGGAGATATATTTGTTAATCCTTTCCGGTGCAGTGTCGCCAGACTGGCAATTCAACAATTATTTCAAGCCACCAGAAATGTAAAACTAATTGCTTTTAAACGTTTAGCAACCACTATTCCTTAAACAACAAAGAGATAAAGTATGTCGCTTCACTTAGAATGTGCTTTTTAGGGTCGCACTTGCCAATGTCTTACCTGACCAAAATTTTAAATCGAGATTTGCTGTTTTAGAGAGGGTTAGCCACGCTTTTTTCAGAGTTGATATTTTCCATCAAACAATTCCTCGATGTAATTTCAAGTAAGTACTTTTGAAGTTCGTGAAATGTCAGCTAGATAGCAGCATGGTGCACGGATACATATTATTGTCTAGATGGAAATCGCAGTGTTTTTACCAAAAACGCTCTCCTGAACAATTTGAAATTGTGACTTATCATTTTTTGCACGAAACTCTTGAATTATAAAAGTCACAAACTCAAAAGTAGTTACTTTTAAAGCACACATCTAGTTTAATAGTCTATCAATTGAATTGTACATACGGGCCGTTCTTCAGATAATGTGATATTCATGTAGTCTCATTCAATTTCTTTTTCTCATAAAGACTTTTTATCATTTTCAAAAAAATTAAAACCTTCCAAATATCTCAAAAACAAATAATTTATCTTTTAAATTCGTTAAATCTGCTCTAGAAAGTAGCAAAATACACTGAAACATATTATTTCCGACATGGAAATCCCAGTGATTTTACCTTAAAACGCTCTCCTGAACAATTTGAAACTGTGGCTTATCATTATTTTTCGCAAATCTCTTCGATTATAAAATTAAATAAACACATTAATTACTTATAAGGCACACATATCCTGTCTAATTTTATAGTCTATCAGCTCAATTATATTTAAGGGTCATTCTTCAGAAAGTGTGATATTTGTGTCTTTTTTAGCCTTATTTAATTTCTTTTTCTTATAAAGATTTCATCTTTTTAAAAAAATTTTAAAACCTTCCGCGAATTCCTTAAATTATTAAAGTTAAAACTCGAGAGCAATTAATTGTAAAGCGCACATAGCTTGTCTAGTTTAATAGTCTGTCCACTCATTTGTATTTATGTGTCATGATCCAGAAAGTGTGATATTTGTGTGCTTAACCTTTGTCAATTTCTCTTTCTTATAAAGATTTTTCTTTTTCTTTTTTTAAAGAAAAAAAACAATTGAAAACTTTCAAATATTTCAAAAACTTGAAGTTTATCTTATTATAAACATTAGGGTTAATCACTTAATTTGGATATGTAAATGCCACTTTTGTTCCCTGTCCTGAAACTTATGACTCGATATTTCAAGTAAATTTTCAATGTAATTGCATGGTTTGCTAAATATAAATTAAGCATTTTTTTCACGTAAATGTTATGGTTACTAGAAATTTAAGATTTTTTCTTCATCAGTCTTTTTGTATTTTCAAAATTCATGATAAAAACACGGTCTCTTAACTTACTTGTCACAACCTTCCATTACTATTTTATAATGAAATAAAATTATAATGAGTAATGAAATTACACTCTAGACATACCTGCCAACTTTTAATCCTTTCCATTATAATTTTTCCCAGTGGTATTAAAATGGAATTAAAACTTCAATTTTAAGCAAACAAATACGTTGTATTTGAGAAAACTTAAGTTGACAACCATGATAGTAACGCATATTGATATATGTGCTTAATTTTTGTAAGAATAGTGGTGATCAAAATCATTTAAAAATTAAATTTATAAAAGAAAAAATAGTATATATTTACTACCACTTTAAATATGAAAATAAAATCTTCCGGAAAATCCGGAAGAGTTGGCAGGTATGTCTAGATGATCATGTATTGAATCAGATAGGTAAGCTTAACCAACGCCTCCTATAAATAAAGGCCTCCACTCTGTTTTTTGTCTGGGTAGTCCGATCAGACCATTATGAAGGTAAACAAGTTTACGAAAGATGCATTTAATAGAAAATCTAGTAAAAATAAGATAGTGGTAGCAAATATATGTCTAAAAATTTGTTTAATTTAAAAATAAGATTGGTCTGTCTTATTTACTTGTGAACCACTACAGATTGAGTTCTCAAATATATACGATATGTTTCTGTTAAGTACATTTAAAATAGAATTTAGGCTTATCCTCATAACTTGTTCGCTTTTTAAGTAATCTACGCAGACTACTTATAAAATCCCGTGTGGAGGCTTTCTGATGTAGAAGGTGATGGCTTAAACTTCTGCTTAACACGTTGAGCGCCGCATCAGCCATCGATGACTGACACTGGATTCTCCATTTAGGCCACTTCAACTACCGGTGGCTGACACTGAAATTATATTTAGGCTGCGTCAATCACCGGTGGCTGACACTGAAATTACATTTAGACTGCGTATGCCACCGCTTGCTGACACTGACCTTTCACATGGGCCGCGAGAAATAGCTGGCTGTCAGCGTATAACATGATATAGAACTATAAATTTTGCACTTTTTTATGGAATTGCAGAACATTTATTCAAAATTTACTTAATTATTGTGATTCTTGGTTTAATAAATTCAATTTAGTAGATTTTTATCCACCACTATTTTCAAACAATTTGTAGGCATATATAATTTACCACTTTTTTCAGAGAAGTCATGCTAAACCTTTTATAAACTAGCAAAATCTGTCTATATTTGCAAATTTAGTTTGTAGTTATTTACCGTGTGGCCTGACGAGCAAGCCATGTAAAATTAGCGTGATATTCAACGTGTAATAGTGCAACTGATGGTCCAGAATATCGGGTTCTATCATGCACCGTAAGCAAATGATTAAATGTAAGAATATATTAATCTTTTCTTCTATATTTCATCTTAACTTTATCAATTAGTTTATATTTTATGATTTTTAATGGAGATCATTTTTTTTTTTCTGTTGCGTGAGATTTCTGAACGAATCTTAGATATTTCTGCGTCGCTGATTTAAAATCTGTTATCCATTTTTCTCTACAAGGTACAGTTTTTATGCAATTTAGTAAGATATTCCGAACCAGGAAGTTTTATAATTTACTGGAGGGAATTTTGATTTTCCCCTTTCTGTGTTACGTAGGGAGTTGTCGAAAAAGGGTAATCTTACATGTACGTTTATGGTGCGATACATTAAGATCCTTTTTGTCTTAAATGTTTTTTTTAAAGTGTATATATATATAAACCTATACGTTTTTAACAAACTTGTACATTTAGACAAAAAGTTAACTAAACTAAAAATATGATTTTGAGCAAATTCTGCAGATTTCCAAACAAATATACTTCGGTTTTTTTGGCCAACCCAATACCACTAACTAACTAACTAATCAACTTTTTTCAGAGTACCTATCCATGTATGGATATCTGCTCTTTCATCTAAATTGGATAATATGTGGTGGAAGGGAAGGGAGGTGCTGCGTTAACGTTAAGTTAAATCTCAGAATGAACAATAGTTGATAAAATCAAGTCTGAGTCATACATAAAAATAAGTCGCAAGTTGATACATAATAAAGGGAACAAATTGAAGATAGAGATAAAGAAAGAATATTTACACTATTTACAAATTTACAAAAGTGGGAAGACTCCCTGTGCACTAGTCATGATTATCCGATATGCTTAGAGAGAACACAGTCGCTTAAGAAAAAAGCGGTTATCGGGCTGAAATTTTTATTGTCATCTATGAAATCAATGTCTAATAACTTATTGAATTTACATGTTGAACAATTTTTGGCACCTTTAAAAAAGGATGCATTGAGTTTAAAAAGGCACTCGTCTATTTTGTCGATTTTGAGGTCATTATAGAGGGTGTTATTTCCCAATACCACTCCCGCCTTCTGCGGTTTTTACGAAAAATTTTTAACAATTTATGTTGTAACAAAATTCTTTTTTCAAGAATTGATTTAAAATGCTTTGAACACCACGACATTTAAATAATTCAAAGACTTTTTAAGCATGTTTTGATGATTTTAAGTGCTGATAAAATTTCAAAAACTTTCGTTGACTAAATTTTCACTATAAAAAGTATGCAGGTTGGCAGCTCTAATTCTATAACTGTTAATAGTAACAGTTACGGATAGTTTAACCCTTAACGGACTAATAGTGCCATATTAGTGGAATTGCACTTATCATTAATTTCAGGGTTCATACATATCTAAAAGAATAAAAAGTGGTAGTAATACTAATATAATTTTTTTATATTATTATGTTTGTAGCTACCAGAATAATTTAGCTTCTCTAAGTAAATATATGAAGATCCAAAAGTGGAGGATGTGAAATTTTAATTCGATAGTAGTAGCTAATATTAAGAAATTTTCAGGTTCTTTGTAACAAAATTGATACCAGTTTTTAATTTTTTCCCGGTGCGTACGAATTCTGTTATTGAGTCCAACATCGCTCATAAGATAGCTAAAATCATTTTATTACACTTTTAGTTCCTTATTGTTTTGATATTTGCCAACTAATTTATTTATAATTAATCATTATAATTTCAGGGATTCTACAGGCGGCTGAAAATGTATGAAATGGGAGAAATTCAACTCCTTTTTACTTATTTAATCTATTTAAATATTCAATCGTAACTATCAACATGACTTTTACAAATTATTATATTTAAAACAAAAACATTCTTTTTATTTGCTGTCTATACTAAATTGAAAGACATATGCTAGATAAAATTGCTAATTGTAATCTATTGAAATAGATTTTTGCTTTTTATTAGTCACCACTTTTTACATTTTTAGTCTCCTCGGCATCTCTGTAATGAATCATTATAATAATTTTAATAATACTTTGTGAGAATTACACTAAGGGTTAATTCATTCCACCTTAATAAAAAAAGAGTAAAAATGAACCTTGTTTCGGTAAAGAATGAAATACACAAACTTATTAACAGCTATAGTTTGTCTATTTAAAGAACTGCCCAAGCCATTTATCAGGAGCAGTGGAAGTGGCTATGGTTACAAGGTTTAACTATTTTAAGTACCATTATTTGTTGGACCATTATTTAAGACAGTCTTTGGCTCGTGTCGGCGAGAGAAAGATTGAACGCATATGTCTATACGCATAGCCCTGGAGGGTATGCGTATAAGCACAAATAACATTTTTAAAAGTTATTTATAGTAGCACATACATGTGCATGCTTGTGGGCTCTTTAAAAAGACAGCATATAAGTCTTAATCAAGTTGTGGTAGGTAGGTACTTTATTTACGTCGCACTAGCTTAATTAAATTGAAGAACAATTAATAAAACACAAATTAGAATAGAACAGTCGACCGGATTGCGTAGAGGTCAGGAAACTGGCATGCATCCGAAAGGTTCTGGGTTCGAATCTCGGACAAAGTATGGATGCTCTTTCATTCTCTGTACTATCTGCCTTTACTCTGGGAGCAACGTTGGCCCACCTAATATGGTACCCCTGAAAGAGTGGCTAACAAATCTGCCCTAATGCGCCTGAATTGACGAAATGTCAACCCATGTGGGCATTGGAAAAAAAGAATAAAACATCACTAAAATACATCCAAAACTACTGCCGAAATCGAACTCGTTACCTCCACGCTAAGACCTCTAGTCCAGGGAAGCCACCACACGGTTTTTTATAAGTAGTCTGCGCAGACTATTTAAAAAGTGAACCCTCATTGTTAATATTTATTAGTTGTTGTAGCAAAAGCTATATAAATTTTCTCCACTGCAATCAAATTATGAAGTGACTTCATTGCCACTTAAAGAAAGAAAAAAGACTTAAGGGCTTATAGGCACTGTCCTGATTCATCTGGACCGCTACGTGGTATTATTTCCAAGGATATAAACTGATCCGGTTTCTTCTAAAGTTTTAATAAATTGGTATCAAATGAAATAGTAAACTTTGAAGAATAGTAATTACGCCCACTCCTTAAAAAAGACACCACGAGATAGCTGCAACCATGTTGCATTTCTTATGATTCTTTGAATTTTTAATCTGTAGCTGTGATAAATGAAAAAATCTAAATTAAAAATAACTAAAATTATGTTACCACTAGAAAATATTTTTTTTCAAACCGGAGCAAGTTTATTTTTTTACCCAGCTTCTTCACCACAACTTCTGAAAAAGTATATTATTTTTTAGTGGTAAAGCAGCAAAAACCATTTAAATGCAGGCTTGTCTCATGAGTGCCATACATTTATATATGTGCTTGAACTGTTGGTCAAATTCTTTTCCTTTTTATTTATTGAACTAGTTTGATTGTAGCATGTAAGCGCAGCTCCCGTGACGAAAATGATATTTTTACTATTTCAGACCACATTAAGTCGTAAACTTCTTAACAAAATGTAAATTTTTAAGGTGTTATTAAATATAGGATGAGTACGAACTTCTAGATTCTTCAAAGTGAAAGATTGTTTAAATATATTTCAACCACTTTTTATTTTTGGAATTAAAATCGTAGCATTGATGCCAACCTGTAAGCCCTATCATCTCACTGTGTTTTAAATGGTAGATAAATGAAAATTTAAGCAATCTCACTTCGTTTAGTTATGGCATCACTTAAATTCACAGATCTTACATGCTTGTTTAAACTGATTACACATAATGTTGGTCAAAATCATTGTAAATTAAATTTGTTAATTCAAGAATAAAATTATAAACCTTAAAATTCCCATCCAACTTAAATACAAAAAAAAAATTCCCGTTTGACCGGGAGAATTTGGCATAGATGTAATATGGTACTCAAGAACAGCGATCGCCACGGACCACCAGGCAGAAAACATTTTATCTCGTGGACTACTTCATCATTTTTTCATCTTTTTTGTGCAAGGGAAAATTTTTCCAAATGATTAGGGTAGGTTTGTAAATGTCACCTTCCCAATCAAATTTACATATCTCAGCAATTTTAAAATTATTGTACTAATTGAATCATTATTAAATGCGGCAAGTTTTCAAATAAACATATTGTAAATTTTTAATGAAATTTAACATGGCAACCAAGGAAAACAAAGAAAAGTCAAGTAATAATAATGATTAAAGACTATTTAATTGCAGTGTTCCGCAGACCTCTGCTTGGTGATCGCTACTTTAAAGTACTGGTAAGAGATAAAAGATAGAAATGTCCCATTTCAAATACTAAACTAAGAGAAAATGGCCAAATTAAAAACTGGTACTAAGTATCTGATTAATGATCATCGGGTTTTTAATTTTTCTTTGGGGATTAAGTTAAAAATCTCATCTGATACCTACACTAAATACATTGATATTTATATGGTGCGTTATCACTAAGTTAAAAATCTCAACTGATACCTACACTAAATATATTTACTGGTACACTAAATACATTTATATGGAGTCTTAGTTATCAATGCCTTACTCAACTTTCAATGAAAAAAAGCAACTAAAAAAGTGGTAGTACAGAACGCCAAAGAAAGGACTACCCGGAATAACTTTCTATCTAATGATCGGATCTTCACGTTCTAGGACTCCATCTTAGTGGTTCGAGAGGCAAATCTCAAAAATGCTAATTAATTAGTATAGACGATATTATTAGTTAAGAAATCAGACACAAAAACGTATTTTCTCTGAATAAACATACCTTTTTCTGCGGATTCAGATTTCAGATTCCCGAAATATAGAGGGTAGCCGTAATCTGGGAAATATGGTTCTAATAGTTTGGTTAGAAGAGCCGTCCGAAGTTTGGAACTCATAATGTTAATATTACTTTTTGAGTATTTCGCAATGTCTCGAGAATTTTTTAAGCAAATTGAAACATTTTTCCACACAATTATAAAATTATTTTATCCAAAGATTAAAATTATTTTATTCTGCGGAAAATGATTTTTAATAATTATTTATTATTTTTCATCATTTCACTTAATAATAGTCGAAAAAATTTTATATTCTAAGGTATAAAATTTTTTGCATCATTTTGAAGAACGTAAATTTTTATTGGCAACATTGAAAATTTGACCGAAATCGGTTGACTAGTTGCTGAATAATAGAATTTTGAAAAATTCGTATTTTTTAAATTAGATTTCTCAGGAACTATTCCAACGGTTTTACTCAAATTTTGATTTTTGCATATAAAATTGCATTTTTTGAAATGATGTGAGTGAAACACCGACGTTCCATCACCCAACAATATTTAATAGGGTAAATTTACGTTTTTTTAACTTTACTCGAAATAAAAACTTTTATTTTTTCAACTTTATACTTTAGATGGAATTTTTCCTTGAAAAATAGCAGGTCATTAATATTTATCTAAATTGCGCAGATATGGTGGTGGACAAAATCGTTTTAAATCAAATTTATTACATCTAAAATAAAATTGTTAAAGTTAAAATTTGTAATCAATTATAATCATATCTTCCAACTCACGGCCAAATTTTTTCCTTATTATCTGTCTTTGTGTTTATAAAATTATATTTATAATTATTTTGACAACCTCAAACTAAAAACTTTCAAAAAAATAAACCTATGTATTAAACATAAAAAATCCCTTAAGATCTCATGCCTTATATGTGTAAAAACCTGACAAAATATAAAAAATTGCTATTGACTTAAATGTTTTTACTCTACTTTTCAACTACCATAATGAAAATTCTTAAGCAAAAATCAAAGAAGTTATTAACTATACTTTATTCAAAGAAAATTTCCCAATAGAATGGAAAAAGTCGGCATGCATGTTTATCATTATTATTTTTTATTCATTATAAATTTCCTGAATTCAAGAAGAGAATTATGAATTACTCTGTATCATAAAAATATAACAGCAAAAACAAGAAGTCTTTTTTACATTTCAGTTTATTTTATTAATTGCATATATTTTATTCTAGGGCTTAAGATCAAAAATGGAATTAGTTTGCAAATGTCACGGTGTTTCTGGCTCTTGCTCAATGCGAGTTTGTTGGAGACGACTAAAACCTTTTAGAGAGATTGGTGACTTGTTAACGTCTAAGTTTGATGGTGCCACTCTTGTAAAAGCAGTTGAAAGAAGACACAAAACCAAATTACGGCCAGTCCGTAAAAATGTAAAAAGACCTAGCAAAAAGGATCTTGTTTATCTCGACGACTCGCCTGATTACTGCGTCCGTAATGAAACGTAAGAGTTTTTATTTTAATTGAACATTATATTTTCATTTTATAATCCTTAAATTTAATTTTGCTAAATACATAAGCAATTAAATAATTTAAAATATTAGAATATCAAGATGGTACATGGCTAGTTATTGCCCACATTCAGAGCATCTCTTTCAGAGATGTGAAAAATTTTGCCATCTGCATAAAAGGAAACGATCACGATCTGCCAAACACCAGATTGTTTGGACCTAAGCATAGAGTAAATTTATTCAAGACCCTCCCAAGTCATTTAGTTTCGTCGAGTCAACTGCCTCTTGGACCTGGTCCATCACCTCCTACATCAGAAAGTCTCCACACGGCATTTTATAAGCAGTCTGCGCAGATTATTTAAAAAGCAAGCCAATTGTGAACATGAACCCAAGTTCCACTTTAAAAGTACTTGAGAGAAATTTATCATGTATATTCGAGAAATGAATCTGTAATGGTTGACAAGTATATAAGACAAACCAATCATATTCATGAATTTAAAAAAAAAAATTTGACATATATTTGCTACCTCTTTCTAATTTTTAATAGATTTTCTATTAAATGGCTCTTTCGTAAACTCGTTTACCTCCATGGTGGTCTAATTGGACGACCAATAAAAATCTGTGTGGAGACTTTCAGTTATATGAGGCGCTACCTGGTCTGACCTCGTCAGACTTCTTAGGACTAGTAACAGCAAAGAAATTTTTTAAAAAATAAATGAAATTTCTCCATAAAATATCTAATTTAATTTACCATACAATTATAATTCATTTTACCAAATCTTTTACTCTCACAGATTTCAGCAGATCAAGACAACCATTAACACTTAGAGTTCCTCCGAAGCACTAAAATTGAAATAAAACGTTTTTACTTTACTTTAAAAAATAATAATCAATTGTAATCAATAACCATATTCACTAATGCAACAATGGAGCACGGCGAGTATTCTTGAAAGACGAGTTTTCTCGTCTGCCGTGATGAAAGAGTAGCATAAGAAGGATTTGGAGCATAAGAAGCATTTTTGGAGCATAAGAAGGTTCCTGATACTTTTACAAAGTTGCCACGGACCACTAAAAAGCAAAAAGTACTGACTAATAAAATTTAAACTTTTACTTAAGGAGGTTAAAATTTGCTCTTTTTGTAGCATATTTTTTCAGATTTCTGTTGAAAGTGAAAAATGCTATTACATGAATAATATGAAATGTAAGTCATAGTGGCATTTACGATTGAAAGTTTAAAGAGATAGTAAATAAATAAAAGTGGATTAAGTTTCTACCAGCTTTTAGATAAATAGTCACCTGTAGCATCCCTGCATTTAGAACCAAACAGTTTAACAACAACAATCCCTTATAAAGCCCCTCTTCTGGCAAAATTTAAATGATAAACATTTCGAACAGATGTTAAAGATTTATGGATTTCCTTATCTGGAGCCTTGTGAACTGAAAATTAAGAAAGGACTGACACTTTATTTTCTTCTAGCAGCATATGTACACTGTTCAAAACAATTAAAAGATATTGTAAGTCTTGTATAAAATAACGGTATAAGCAAAACACTTATTGCTTAAAATGGAAGAAGAGAGTAGCAAAGGTAAATGTTTGTTATTTTCAAACTTCTCAGTATGCAGATTTTGAGTTTGACGTCAATGACGACGCTATAGTGGTAGCGAATTCAATTTGGCTTTCAACTTAATGTAAGACAAAGCTAAAAAGAATGCTCGACATTCAGTAAGCACGTTGTTTCGATCGATGAATGTGGTGTCTCAGCGAAATCATTTAACCGAATCAGAAGCTTGGAGAATTTTTGGCCAGTTAGAGGTCGGAGAAACACAAGCCGTAGTAGTAGAAGTGATTGGAGTTTCAGAAAGTGTGATTTCCATGATCTGGAACCGTTATTTGGAGGCTGGAAATATAGGCCGAAGATCAGGTTAAGGGCTCAGACGTGCAACAACACCCAATGAGGACCATTATTTAACGCTAACGGCTCGGAGAGACCGAAATAGGAATGCCACTCTTCTTCAACAACACCTTCTCTCGGCTACTGGCACAACAGTTTCGACACAAACTGTCTGAAACCATCTTCACGCAGCAGCTACAGTTCTGTATGTTCGCCGACCAATGATGTGTGCCACGTTAACAGCGAGGCACCGTCACGCCCGCTGGGAGTGAGTAACAGAGCATATAAACTGGAGGAGAAATGAATGACGCGATATTCTTTTCCCTGAGGAGTTCATCCTGATAATCTGTTCATACTGATAATAGGCGTATTTTCATCTGGTGGGAACGTGGCGCTAGAAACAATCCTGCCTTCCTGCTCGAAACTGTGAGATTTGCGATGGGGTCTATCCTGGCATCTCCATTGACAGCCTTCATGCAACTGGCCAATAACTGTCAGTTACGGGAGTGCTTTGCATGACTTTTTAAAATGTGATTATTATTAATTAAATATAGTAATTAAACCTGTGGATTAAATATCATCAACAACAAAATATTAACAACTTCAAATCCATGGATTCCATTCCCCCAACTTCAGATCGATGGGTTTCATCTTTTCTGAGAAATAAAGGCAATCAATGAGTCATACATTGCCGCCTCCATGCATCTTGACATTAGTCTAGAAATTGTGATGCTTAAACCTTTATACAATTGGCCAATAACTGTCAGATGCGGAAGTGCTTTACATTGCTTTTTAGAGTACGCTTACTATTAAGCAAATACAGTAATTAAACCTGTGGATAGGATATCATCAATAACAAAATATTTACAACTTGAAATCCATGGGAACCATCTTGTTTGAGACAGAAGGCAATCGGTGAGCCATGCATCATGACGTTAGTCTGGAAATTGTGAAGCCGAAACCTCCATACAATGGGCCAATAACTGTCAATTGCGGAAGTGCTTTATATTACTTTTTAGAGTGCCCTTACAATTAAGTAATTTAACCTGTGGATAAAATATCAGCAGTAACAAAATATTAACAATTTAATTTATGCTGCATAATTTTCCTTTTTTTCTTCTTTTACAGATTAGGTGTGCTCGGGACTCGTGGTCGACTATGTAATAGCACGAGCTATGGAATGGATGGTTGCAGATTATTGTGCTGCGGCAGAGGATACCAGACTGTGATTCGAGAAGTAGAGGAAAAATGCCAGTGCAAGTTCGTCTGGTGCTGCAAAGTCCATTGTGAAATGTGTAGTTTTAAAAGAGAAGAGCACTACTGTAACTGAAAAATACTTCGTCCATCTAGAATCGGATATAAACGTAAAAACAGACCAGAAAGAAATACTTCTGGCCTCAGGTTATGCAACATCAGTTCTTTTGATGTTTTAAAACGATTCCTTATGAAGAGTTGAAGCGTTAAGCTACAAGATGTTAAAGATGTTTTCCATTCTGGCACGAGCTCTTCGACAATCGAATTGACATATTCTTCTTATTCTAAGCACGCACATAGACTATGAGTTGGTGAATTATTAATGCCATTGAAAAAGAAACAATTCATACTCTCGGGACGTGTTCACTAATTCATTTTTATTATGATTGCTTCACTACTGAAGCAAATTCTTTATTTCTCATTAATTTCTTTTATTTAAATATAAATTAAGCCAGCTGCAAGTTTCAGTTTTTGAAACTAGTGTACAGTTTCTTCCCTTTCTTTTCTATAATTATAAAAAGAATTATTTAAGTAGCAAGTATGGATTTAATGTATAGTTTTTTTAACAGTTTTAAGAATTATAAAGAAATTTTTAAACAAATTTGAATCTAATGTAGAGCTGCCAACCATTATGGTGCATCTGTAATATTTCATATTTATATTTAAAAGGGTATTACATTTTCTAAATTTCTCCTTAATTATTGAAATTTTAAATTTTTTCAAAATAGTTTTGATCACCACTGCACACAAATAAATTAATCATATTCATAAAATTAAGCTATTTAAACAATAGTATGTTTACAGAGATACCAACTTACTCCGTACAGCTGATAAATATTTTCGAGTGCTAGGCTTTTAATGTATTATTCTTGGTTTAGTAAATTCGGCTTACAGGGTTTTTACTCACGATTACTTCTTATTAATTCAAAGACTTAAGTGATACGCCACTTTGTTACGGTTAAGCCTTCCCAGGCACCCAATTTTTTGATAATAAACGCAACGGTTAAGCCTAGGGGCCGCTGCGCAGCCCAGGTGCCCAGTTTTTGCGAAATAAAAAAGAAAAGAAAGAACGGTTAAGCCATGTTGAGCCTTTTAAAACGTTGGCAAAATTAACCGAAAATCTGCGAATTTTGGTTTGCGGTTTTCTACCGTCTCTTTTAAATATTTTGGCAATTCTGGAGCAGTTGGGATCTCTGTGTTTAAATCCAGGCAATTTAATAAAATTTTTACCTACAATTGTTCATCAGCTATCTTTTCACTATCACTTCGCATATTCCTCCGCAAAAGAATTAAAAGTTGGCAGGTGTGTCAAATGTATAGTTATTTTTTTTCGAGAATAATTTTCAAAAATTATAAAAAGAGCTCTTCAAGTAAAATATTTGGATCTAATGTATAATTTTTTTATAATTATAAATTTCAAAAATTGCATAAAAAGCGTAAACTCTCATAGCTTTTTTCAAATCTCAGTTTTGAAGGAAATGTATAGATTTTGTTAAAAAGAAGAAAAAAAAGAAAGAAGGAAACTAGAATAACAGAAAAATACTTCTCATGCGGCACTTACTTACATTTTTGCTGCCTGGAAATACTTTAATCAACTTCAGTCAAAAATAACTTCAACTATAATTGTTGCTCATTACTTTATCAGCCTCAATGAAGAATAACTTCAACTATAACTGTTACTTATTACTTTAATCAGCTTCAATTAAAAATAACTTTAACTATAACTGTTGCTTATTACTTTAATCAGCTTCAATTTGGAATAACTGTTGCTTATCACTTTGATCAGCATTTTATTTTTAAATACTAGATTAATACTTAAATGCAAACACTTTAAACCTTCGTTTCATAACTAATTTCCAAGTAGTATTATAAAATCTTTTCTTAAGATTGAATGATAAGTGTGTTATGTGGTGTGTACATTTATCTTTTCGTCAACTTCACACCGCCAACTGCATTTTGGACGATCATCTTTACTTCTTCATTCATTTATTTTGTAATCATTGATGTATAATCATTTATATTTTCTTAGTGCAACATTTTTTATGACTCTGAATTATTACTATGAAATTGAAGTAATACTCCCGCACGAAAGTATACGTAGACGTGAAATAAACTCAAATATTTTTGGTGTGTGAAACGCATAACACAAACTAATATAAAATAATAGGAAGAAGTCGTCCCTAGATACAAAAAAAACTCTTTTTGTGTCCTTTGATGTTTTGTAGCTTAGATATCAACGTCTACTTTCTTGCTGAAGTAAGCCAAGCCTTTGCAACTCTAGTCTCTCTATTCACCAGCTTGTATGAATATATATCAAAAAGAGAGCGCAATTTTGTAAATATAGCTGAATTTCATTTTAAACCGTCGTTTTTGCCATTTATGTGTTTTATGGCGAAAGTATCCATCCTGAAATTCAAACAAACGAAAATTTTAAAGAAAGGAATAAATAAGAAAAACTGTACATTTATACTGATCAAAATTTAAAACAAAATATATACTAATTGAAATAATATCAGTAACGCCAGGTTATATAACATTTTCGGATATATTGCTCTTCCTATTTCTTGAAAAAAAGAATAACGATACTTAAAAGTTAAGTTAAAGAGTTATTTCTCATAATTACTTTTTTTTAAAAAAAACGTGAGAAATTGTTTTTTTCTTGGAGAAAGGCGATTAACATTTTCTACAAATAATTTATAATCTTGCGTGCAAAAATTATACTTCTATTAACAACGGTAGCTATGAGGAATAAAATCATCGGTGATCATTGGCAATAACAATAATTACCATGATTGATGACATACTACTGCAAAGAAAGGAATGGTTGTTTTTATTAACCAATAGTTGTAATATAATGCATATCATCGCGTTCGCTATTTTTTAGTGAGCTTCCTTAAATATCTCATTCCAATAAATAGCACTCACCCTATAAGCGCTTTATAATCAGGAATGACATATTGACATTCAGGACCTGTTAATCACTCTGATCATAGTTTGCTTTTCTCCCCACAAGTACTTCATAATCAGGAATTGCGTATTGACATTCAGAATCTGATAATTGCTCTGGACAAAGTTTTCTTATCTCCCGACAAGTACTTCATAATCAGGAATTACGTATTGATATTCAAGACCTGATTATCTCTCAGGTCATAGAAGTTCATGTTTTATAACTGAGTTAAACTATTACATGAAATAAGATCGAAACATGAAATAAAGTCTCCGACAAAAAACAAATATAAGTTATAAATTATCAGTACGTGTAACGCGTGATTTTTATAACTTCTTGTAAGAAATTAAATATAAAAAATTATCTTAATTTCTAATATTGCGAGTAAAACTTAGAATTTATATTTCCAGATGAAGGAAGAGCAAAAATCCATATTCAGACTCAATTCCAAATTATCCATTATCAGGTCCCTGTAACATTTCTAAAACGCGTTGACAAGCTCGTGTGATGCAAATTTCATAAGTTTGTTAAAAACAAATTGAGCAAGCTTTAAACTAAATTTATCCACACAAAAAACGTGCTTGAAAAAGAATGAATTAATACGTTCTTTACAGCTTCTATCATTATTTTTGCAAAGATAAAAAAAAATTTTGTTGATTATTTTTTATTTTTTGCCTTCAACTCTGGCCCAATGGACACAATATGTAAATACTCTTTGAAAAGCATATGTCTACTCTATAACTGTAAAACTCTTTTAAAGTTATTTTTATTAAAAGTGTTGCTCTGTAAAAAAATCATTAGCTGTTACTTACCTGTGAAATTACTTCAGGGATAAGTTTTAATGTCTTATTCGGAGATATTAAAACTACATATCAATTTTTGTGCAATTATAAAAATTACAAACCTTTAATAAAATCAAATTTATGCCGGTTCATTTTTATTTCTCTTTAATTTAATATTGTTTGACGCATTTAATTTCTTCTTACTTAATTTATATCCCAGATAGTATTGTAAGGTTTATTTTAGTGTAGCAGCAACCTTTATCACAAATCCAAACTAGGTTTACAAATGATGGGCAAATAAACCATAAAACAATGTTAAATTTAATCACGCTATTTAAAGAGCAATGAGGTTCGTATCAAGCTTGCACAAACAGCCCTTTTATGTGGAGATTAAATCTAAAAACCCTACTTTTAAAAAATGTTGCTTTTGAAAACCTTAATATACAAAGGAAAAGAGAAGAAGATTTCCTATAAATGCTAAGAAAATNGATAATTGTTCTTTATTCAGAAATATCGCATAACGAAAGATGCGTCCTGAGGAAGACTTTCGGTTTTTTCCCATTAATGGTTTTTTATTTTATATTATTTTTATATTATTTTATTATATATATATATTATAATGGTTTATGACCTTTATTAACTCTTTAAAAAAATAATATTGACATTGTAACATTTCTGCTGTGTAGGTTATAATAAGTAACCAGTCAATCAAAAGAAACTGAAAATACAATGTTTGCCAAAAGGTTGCTTGCTATCCGGGATATTATTTATATACATTTAGAAATTTATTTTTTCTTACTTTTCACTTCAATACCGTTATTAAGTAACTTATTTTTAGTTTGAATGTAGTACAGTAAAACAGCGGGTGTTCCGATGGAATCTGTTTTTTTTTTTTTTTTTAATAAGATTCATCTGTAAAATCTCTAGTTTCATAGATTGCTCAATTCCTTAGCCATGCACAACATAAGTTTCCCTTTAAATCATGTAAATTTTTTTCTCCTGAAAAACATTAGAATTTTTAATCTTTGAATAAAGAAATAAAACCTTAAAGTGTCAAAATCATTCCCCCCTCAATTTAAAAATTGAAAATTGAAAATCCTTTTTAATAGAATTTAATAGAATTTTAATAGAATTTTTTGCTTAATAGAATTTTTTGCTTAATATATTTTATCAGTGAAAACATTTATTTTACTAACAAAGAAAGTTTAAATGATTATTGAGATCTAGTAAAAAAATAAGAGTTCGTAAGTTTATTTCACTATGAAGTGACACTATGAAGTTACACCAAATTTGAAAATTAAATAATAAAGTAATAGTTTTATTCATAAAACATATCACAAAATATCGAAAATTAAAAATTGTTTTTAGTATTCATTCATACTTTTCAGAAAATTATTTTTGATCTCATAAAATTACAGTAAAAAAAGTTTATTGTAGAAAAATCGTATTTTAACGAGTCTGGCCTGGCAACTCTGCTTTTCAGTTTTTCTCGTTGAAATTTTTGTTGTGTAGGATTTATAGCATCATCTTACATTATTTGAGTTTAAAAAAATATTCATCGTTTTTAATTTTTAAAAAATTATTTTGTCTTATAACATAGGTTTTAAAATGAACTCTTGGTTTAGCTTTTTTTTTTATTTAAGGTTAAAAATCTTGGATTAGAATTACTCAATGAATAATGGACAAAGAAAAAAATTTAAAAAATTAAGAAATAAACTTCAGTTAAGAAAGAATTTGTTAACATCAAGCTTCGGATAATTGAGGTTTTACTGTACTATCTATTTTCTTGATATGTCTGACGCATTAAAGCCTAATTTCTGACATTTGCAAACACAGCTTTTATGCAAGAAAAATTCTGCTTTCTAAACTGAAGCTTTCTTTTAAATTGTACTTTTCCTGAAACATATTACACTCCTCTATTATTGATAATGCTAATTAATAAATTAATATTGTTACTGTATTCATTTTGCATTTGCTTGTATGCATGTAATTTGCAAATCATTTCATAAAAACTTATTTTCTTTCATTTATGGTTTTTGTATATAAATGCTATCAAATCATAAAAATAAAAATCAGCATTAACTCAGCATTTCCGGTTATATTTTTAAATAGTACTTCTAGTGTTTCATTGTAAAGTATTTTATTTATCATAATTATTTTGTCACCCGATGCAACGTCTATATGCAACCTTCTTAAAACATGGTTCTTTGTGAGTTCTGGAAAAAACTCGCGTGAATAAAAATAATAAAGCAATGATAGTTTCAAGAACAAGATTTAAAGAATGGTGAAATGTTTTGATTTAACTCATTATCATCACGTGATATTTTTTAATACATGTTCAAATGCAATTTTTAATGCAGCAATCAATTTTCAATCTGTATTCTCATTTCTATTATAAATCTTTTTACTAGAATATTAGAGTATAAAAATGTTTTTTTTTAAAAAATACATTATTCACCTTGAATGCAATTTTCAATGCAGCAATCAAATTTTAATGTATGTTCTCATTTTTATTATGAATCTCTTTATTAGTTCATTAGAGTATAAAAATTTTAGTTTTTTTTTAAATACATTAATCATTTCGGATGCAATTTTTAACGCAGCAATCAATTTTTAATCTGCATTCTCATTTTTATCATGATCGTGCATCTTTTTATTAGTTTAATAGTATTAAAAAAATCATTAACTTATTCTTAACACAAATTGATTTTTAAACTAATCTGTTTCTTGCGTAAAAGACAATTTCATACACCAATTTAATAATCAAAAATACTTATTATCAAATCAATGGAATAACATTGTTTTTAAAATATTACTATTTTTACATGGTACGTATTGTCGTTAAACACGAAGTAAAATACTTGGTTTTCAAGCATAAAAAGACTTTTTTTTTCAAAATTAAATTAATCGAATAAAACATATCAATTTCTCATCTTTGGTATTCTGAATATGGTGTCCACATAAGCAGCTATCTAAAAAATCTATAGACCAGCTTACTTTAAAAAAAACTGTTAAAACCTCGAAAATAAAATGTTAAATAAGGTTTGTCAAAATCATTAAAAATAGCATTTATTTACGAGTCAAAATCTACAATAGGTAATTGTAACTTTAAATAAAAAACAAGAATTATTTGACACAATAATTTTTTCGCAAATATTTTCTCGTTAATTACTTTTAATCACTGTATTTTTTTGTCTAGTTTTAACTTTTCATTCATTCATCGAAGAGGATATTTTAATCGGAACTTGGATACAAATTTACATTTAAAAAAATGCTTTGATTTAAGCAAATTAACAGTAAATAATTCATAAACCATAAAAGTAAACTAATGCACCATGCTTTCATACAAAATACTTTTCGTAAAATCGAAAAATGTTTATTTCAAATTCATGTAAACAATCACTATTGAATCACACGTTATTTGAAGGTTGCATCTAGAGTTTAAAACCAAACAAGATTTTCTCCATATTTGCTTAAATAAAAATTAACCTGCTGTTTATCTTTACAACTCTTTTAAAATTGCATGGTAGTATCATTCTTGTAGACTTTGTAAAAAGTTTTGTGATTTCATGTTTTCCACGTATGTTTGTATCATCATAGAGCAAAGAGTGAATAAACATGATCAGGATAAGTGTTGTGTCATTTTTCTTTTTAAAGATCCTTATCAGGCTTACATGCAGTTGTGGGAGGTCGGTAGATCTACTGATAATGCACCCTCATGAAGTCGGTTTATTCTTGGACTGATTACTATCGCCAAGGAATACCACATTTAGAAATGATAATTGTTTTTAGTGTCTCTTCTCTTTTTGGCAGGAATGTAACCGAAGTTTTTGAAAGCTTTCCTACTTTGCTAACATCTACCATGACATTATTTTGACGTTAACACCTTTGCATATTTGTAAACTTGCCATGAATTTTTTTGTTATTGATTGTAGAGACATTCCCTTTTATCATTCAACAATCTATACTGTTTTTGCTTAAACACTGTAGCGATCATAATTTTTTTTTTTTTGTTGAAACAATGGTACTTGTCTTATCTCTTAACTGTTACATACAGATTTATCATTGTTTCAATTTAACTGCTCATCAAAGAAATTCCACAATTTATACACGAGCAAAAGATTGATATCAATAATTATTCATTTTCACTAAGATATTAAAAAAAGTTACACTATTTGTTTTACAGTATAATTTTTTTTTCAAAATAAAATTATAAATTGTGAAAAAAAAAATATTTTTTTTCGTAAAATAATAAAGACCATTTAAAAAATGTTTAAGCATTTTTCACTTATTCAACATGAAAATAAACAGTAATCAAATTATTTCGTTAGTTAACCGATCCAATAAGTAATTGTCTTTATCTTTTTGTCTTGGTAATTGTCTTTATCTCTTAACTGTTTCATACAGATTTATCATAGTTTCAATTTAACTGCTCATCAGAAAAGTTCCACAATTTAAATATGAGCAAAAGATTAATTATTCGTTTTTCATAAAATAACTAAAAAAAAGTTACACTATTTGTTTCACATTAATCCTTTTTTTAAAAATAAAATTATAAATTATGAAAAAAAAAATTTACATTTTTTTCGCTAATTAAAAAAGACCGTTTTAAATTTTTTTAGCGTTTTCGAATTATTCAATACGAAAATAAACAGTGATAAAATTATTTCGCCAGTTAACCGATTCAATAAATAATTGTCTTTATCTTTCTGTCTTGGTAGCTGTCATAGTTTCAATTTAACAACTCATCAGAAAAATTCTACAATTTATGCATGAGCAAAAGATTCATATCAATAATTATTCCTTTTTAATAAGATGTCTGAAAAAAGTTACACTATCTGTTTTACAGTAAATTCTTTTTTTCAAAATAAAATTATAAATAGTAAAAAAAATTATAATTTAAAAAAATAAAAAAGTACGTAAAACAAAAAAGACCGTTTAAAAATAGTTTAAGCACTTTCAGCTTATTCAACATGAAACTAAACGTTGATGAAATTATTTCATTAGTTAATCGATTCACCTCGTATTATTACATAAATTATCTTTCATAGATGAAAGTAATTTTATTTAACATTTTCACTTCTTAATTCATTCTTGTACACAGAAATAAATAAGAATGTCTGTTTCCAGTTTTGGTACAGCCCAGTGGCGTGTAGGGTTAACTCTTTTATTAGATGCCCCTAAAATTAGAGCCAATTTAATTTAAAAGAAATGTTGGACAGATATATACTTTTAAAAATTTAAATCCCCATTTTAAACTCGCTTCCATATAAATATGTACGAAAATTCTTCTTAGTAAAAACTGAGTTATTTCCAGCAAAACATCTTAACATTTTAATTAAATGTAAAGAATATTTAAAATTAATGACCTATAACTTCGCTATTAGATATGTTAGAAAATCAGTTTTATTCCTCATAAAATATTTTGCTTTTGTTAAGTAGTTATCTATTTAAAAAATTAAGTTCATAATAAAAA